AAACACGATCTGAAGGTTGCTGGTCGGAATAAAAGACTGCAGCAAAAGAACCCTTTTTTCTTCTCTCTTATCTCTTGTTGAAAGCTCTCTCAAAAACTTCTCTTATGTCCTAATGTCTTTCAAAGACAATACTAATGAGCAATCTGAATTATTCTCTTAAGACTATCCTCTATTTATAGAGTTGTGCTTTTCCTTACAAAGCCAAAACCAACTCCAAATAGGATTACTATTCCAATCCTTTTCCTAATAGAATTGGAAACCAAATAAAGAGAATAATTCCAATCCTTTTTCAAGTAGGATTAGGCCATGGGCCTTTGGCTGGAACATGGGCAATAGCCCAACAGGTAGTACTGTAGTACGTATGAAAAGGAAGTATATATCTTCTCTTACCAGAAATAAACAATCAGTATCATATCAAGTGGAAACACAGACAAATGCAGAATATACCTACAGATTACAATATTTGTTTGTAATTATCTACTATCTCAGCAAACAATCTTCTCTTTGGTCTTTGCACGTCACGCATCCTATAATATATGGTACACAAAAATGTCCGCTACATCTTTCTGTCTCTTCACATACATATTTGGGGGATTGGTTTCGGGCAGAGGGGTGATCAAGAATGTGTTGGCTTCTTTATCTGTACGTTCTCCTCATAAAAATAAGTCGGAGATGCAAGATTCTCACATTTTATGTACAGTCAAATCGTATTATAGTCACTGCAAATGCTCCAAATTACTGTTTGATCAACATTGCGTCTAGTCGCCTTTTCCTTGCAGCATGTTTTAGTTTCTCAAGTGCAACTAATCCCACCTGCCTGACCCTCTCTCTAGACAAGCCTATCCTGTTAAACAAAGAAAAGTAGCATTTAGAACAACACTATGACTTGTATCCACTCTGTGTGTAATGTCAATTATAGTAAGGAACTTTAGCATGACTGAATTTCAGTACAAGTGTGAAGTGTGAGTAGATGCCTGTGCAAACTTCCATGTTTTAATATGTGCCCATTCTGCAGCTTGATCAATCTGTGCAGTTTCTTTTACTTAAAATTGTTTCTCATTATCACATGGCCATTGTGGCAACCTGAATACCTGATGTGCTTCACGAGTAATACTATTTCATTTTGGTTTCTAAGAGATGACAGTTCTAGACTTCTAAAATATCCAGAATGAACCCTAGGTAAACATGTGAGATATAATGTGACTACATAAGTGCTTCTATCAAGATCAATCGTGTATTTTGGATGGGACAAGTAATTTCTGATTACAAGTTAACAACCATGGATATTTGACTCTTACCTTTTACTAATATCCTCCCATGTGAGACATTCACTGTCCAGACCATAGTACAGTCGGATAATCTCTCTCTCCCGTTCTCTAAGAGATGATGAAATGAGGTTGTTTACTTCATCCTGTAAAACTTAACATCAGAAAAGACATTTCTTCACCAGCATTATAATCTTGTGAATCATCATACACTGTTAAAACAGTTAGCAGAAGCATATAATGATACTTTTTCCTCTGAAGCAAATCTGATGAAAGTTTAAACATTTTAGTTACTAGTGAGTTTCTCATTACATACCGTCCTTCTAACTGACAGAATAGCCCTTCCTCCCATAGGAAATGGCGAAAGAAGTTGAGCAAAACCAAAAGCATGACACTTACAACATCTCAGAATCTAAAAGAGACAATATATGTGGAACCCAAGCCTAGATAACAGGATCGGCATGGGAAGGCCACAATTAATTGCAATCAAATAAAGGTCTGAAGAATGTGTGGCAAGAGCCTATTTTCCCACAAGTATATGGTTTGGAACTTACACATCATTATGAGTTTATGTACAAATATCAGAACTGCATTGCAGTTAAGAAGGATATATTTAAGGGAAACAATGCTTGACAAAGCATATTAGAATTGAATTCCATTCGGAAATACGAACATCTCTGGAGATGCATATCTATTAGGGTGCAACCACTATATATTTTTTTACCATTGGTTTGGTGCAGGCGGATAAACCAGAAAATAAACATATTCTAGTAGTTTTCTCATGGAGAACTTTTTGTTTTTATGCCCCCAGGTTAGATATTATTAAGTACCATTTATATGTTAACTATTTCACTTTGTGAAAGCTATGCTTCACTAAATTACCTTGAGTGCCCATGTATCAACACCGTGCCATGGGTTGTTCTCCAGGTGGTTATCAGCAATGTACTGCAGAAAAGAGGAAACGAAAAGATAAATAAAGAAAGAAAAGAGATCATGAAACAATGGCCAGTAATGATGTGTTGACTGATAAAAGGAATGCATGAGGCGTCAAGGACCTGGGGCTCTTGGATTCAAATCCCTAGTAGTAGGATAGTATCATACAGTTGCAGTTCATCTTTATGTGCGTAAACATAATGGAAAGACTTGTACCAGTTAATTCCTTTTTATTAAGATTGTACATCTCCCCCCAGAAATGAGTAACTTTTGATTCCATTTTGTCACAATTTTTTGAGAATTGAATCTAAATTTCTACTAGCCAATACCGTAAATATCAACTCACATATCAAACAGATCATCAATGTGCACTTTTTGAGATGCAAAGTGGTGCTTGAATTATTTGGTAAAATTCAGAAAAGTTGTCAACCCAATGTTAAGTATATTTTGTGAACATTTAGAGTTCAGACTTCAGACTTACACTATGGAGAGTTGCTCCGGGCAGACCATTTAAAGAGGGAAACACTTCCCTGTCAAGTGAATACACCTTGCTGCTTGCCTATAAAAAGAAATGTTTAAGAAACATTTTCTGAAACAATGAGCAGGACAAGCCACAAAATTATTATACCTCAGTTGCATTCCTGACTTTCTTCTGGGACATATTTAGCGATGCAGCTATATTCTGGTGATCAATTGGAACACAAGCCAGTAAGAAGAAAAAAACGTAATATCTCAAAATCAACTTCATAAGTGACATGAGAAGTGTTTAAATATCTTCTTCCAATATATCAAAGTTTGATAGAACTTACATTTACAGATGGAGTTATTCCCTTCTCTTCAAGCCTCATCTTTGCATTACGGATTAGACCGAGTCTTTCATGCAGATGTGTTGGCAATCTTAAGGTTCTTGAATTCTCAACCAGGGTTCTGGAGACACCCTGAACATGGGGCGAAAAAAGTTAGTAAAGGTCCTGACACTATTACCAATTTATGACCAGATAAAAGACCTCTACGACTGGAAGGTGGCTTGATAATTCTTGCTAAAACAAAAGAAAGATAAACTTATTTGTTTTGGAGAAACTAAAAATAAGGAAGCATGAGAAATAATTTGTTGGTTGAAATATTTTGACTCACTTTGTCGGTTGAGATTCTAGATAAACAATTGAACGTACCTGGCGAATCCACCAATAAACATAAGTTGAAATTTTGTATCCTTTAGAGGGATCAAATTTCTCTATCCCTCGAAGTAGTCCAATAAGACCTCCCTGTATGAAAATGAAAAAAATTTCCTTCAGAGATGCAAATTTTGATTTTGAACTATATTCTTCAATATACAAGTGCAAGAAATTTGCATATCTAACTTTTGAATGCACAACATTTGAGTCACCTGAACGAGATCAGCCATTTCAGCACCCATGTTATCATATCTTTGAGCAATTGACATGACAAGACGAACATTGCTCATTGAAAGCCTTTCTCTTGCCAAGGAACACTCGATCAATGTAGATTGTAAATCAGTACGGGGCATTTTCAAGGAAAGAGCTAGTTGATCATCAGAAGGCTCACATCCCAGTCTATCCTTCAGCCTAAAGTTTTACATGGTTAGATAGAAACAGAGTGAGACATCTTTAACAGCTTCAAGAAACAACATCACAAAGGAAACAAACTTTACAATTATATCTCGGTATCCTTCCAACTCCTATGTCTTACCTTCCTCCTCACATGCTTTATTGATCGATGTTAACAATCTAACATCAAATTTTGTGAAAATCACCCCGTTTTCAAAATAAATGAGTTTATAGAAGCCCATAAACAGTCAAGACAATCTGAAATTGACTGTTTGGGTACTTGGTTATTATAAAGATTAGTTTCATGTGTATGTTTTGCTTGGATAAAAAGCTATACAGTGGATGCATGCAGACAGTTTTCTTTTAGTTCATTGATGTTCTTATATGTTACTAAATTCTGTTAGTGTTGAAGTGGTGATATGATTAGCTACTGAGAGAAGAGGAGAGGTTAGTACCTTGATTTTTGCTCTTCCACATGAAGACCAACTTGAATCTTTTTGGATAGTTGAAGCACTTCAGTGTGTGTGAGCAGCTCGTCACTTACTACACCCTTAACATAACCTTTTAAACGATTTTGAAGTAGCTCTGGACCAATTATTGATCTCAGCGGCTTGGTTGCACTGATAGGTGTAGCTGAACTTTTTGGACCAAGAACTCTTTGTCGAGAATCCGTTCTCCTCCGCCTAGCAGTCGTCCCTGAGCAAGTAATATGCATCTTCTTACAATTCTTTTCATGTTGTGGAGAAGCAGTCAATGTCTCTTCAGCAGAAAGATTCCACTGCTTTTCAAGCATGGACTTCTGCAGCAAGAGGAAAGCCTCCACCGAATCATCATCCTCGTCATCACTTTCATTTTGCAATTGTTCGAACCTTTCAAACCAGGACTGCACATCAGAAGGGTCGGATGCAATGTCTATATGCTCTTTAAGAGCCTTGACAGATTGTAGTTTTCGACTGGATACATAACTGGGGCTATAATTCAGATGACTTCTTCGCGGTGATCACATTTTTAACAGAAGGAACCTGATGGCAGGGAAAACTATGATCACTGCTACAAGATAGCTTTTCATTAAGATCAGAATAATAGAAAGAAGAACTCAAGAGTCTTTTTCCTGCACTCAGTCCAATAACTGCTGTTGTGGCCATCATGAGGGCTATCCCTTTCTAAAAATCCAAGACCATCACGCGTCGTCTAACAAGGAAGATTGAATTACAACAATATCAGCTTATGACCAAGTTGCTATGCTGATTAATCCCCTCAATCACTTTCTACAGGTAGTCCCACATAGAAAAAGTCAGTAAAAAGTAACAGTAGATAGAGTTAGCTCAACAAACAAGGAAAGCAATCAGAAATTTGGACAACAATAAATCCGCTTTTTCTAAACATTTAAAAAAAGTAGTAGTTTTTTGGTCTTGTTTTCTTTTGAAAGCAATGAATTTATGTTAGTTTCAGTGACATACTTTAATAAGAAGAAGAATTAAAAGAAATTTCAACTCGAATAGTTCACTGGTGTGAAATTAAATGAATTAACCGGAGTTGCTAAGTTGCAATCTCATCAATGTTTTCGGGCCAGCTTCGTTTGCTTCACTACTACTCATTGTTTCATTTGATTTTGTTATCTTGCTATTTTTGTTATAATTATTCTTTTTCAATCCTACTTTGGTTACCTTTCTTTTGAGCCGTCTGTCTATCAGAAACAACCTATCCACCCCACGAAAGTAAGGATAAGCTTTACGTACATCCTACCCTTTGCAAGCCTCACACTAATTTTATGAGTATCTTCTACATTCCACCAACACACATATCAGGACTTCCACTGAAATTTAAACCTTAGACCTCGTGATTTTCAACTCCAGTTGGCCCATCTTGGGTGCTATTATATACAATTTTCACATAAGTGTGATCGACCTCTTTTAAGTTCCAATCTCTATACAGCTTAAAACTAGAAAACCAAATACAGCTGGATTTTCTTCGGCACGTAATAATTATGTATACAGCTTGCGTTTACACACGACTCACGAGGCGATAATAACGAGGGAATTAACAGATTTGTATACACGGCGAACATTACGAGGGGAACAGATTCTACCGTTCGATTCGAAAAACACGACTATGAAAACTAAATCGAAATAGAAAGAAAAGGAGTAATTAAGATGAAGATGTTAAAAGTGATGAGTGCAGCTTACGTACCTGAATTTGAGCAAAATGACAGAAATGGTGATACAGTGTGGCGTTGCAATGGCGGTGGTAGAAAGAAGTTAAGAGTTTGTTGCAACAGAAATGATATCGTTTACTACTATTTCTTCTTTGTATTTTTTCGATTTTTTTTTATTGTTGTTGTTGTTGATAATTAAATTGATGGGAGGAAAATGAAAATAACGCGAGAGGAGATCAATGTAATATTAAGTTTTTGGATATTAGAGATCAATTGTCATTGGTTGGAATAGATATACGGGTCCCACTTCTTGTGGTGTACCTCTACCTCTTCCTTTTCTCTTTTTCAAAACTTTCTTGTCTTATTCCCATCAACAATTCTAGACTTACATGCCCATTTATCTCCGTCGCACCTTCTATTAGCAACAAGTATCAAATACTTTTAATTTTATTAATATTTATATTTATATTGAAATTAAATCAGAATTCTCATGATTCTCAATTCATTTCATTGAATACTAGATTACATTTTTTAAAATTTTCATGATTCTTAATTTATTTTACTAATCACTAGATCATACTAAACATGATATGATAATAAGTGTTCGTCATGTGGCCTTCTAGTTATCAACCAAAAAAACTAGATTGAGGATGAGTATTTCACAAATTGAGGTCCCATCAGTCATAAGCCACGTTTTCTTTATTGTTATCATCAAGATGGGAGCTTCGTATTTATTCCAGTTATAAGTCGAGGTATATTCCAAACCTGTCCAATTATAAAAGATTTTTATTATGGGCTAAAAATGTTAATATTTGAAAAGAAAAAAAAAATAGTATTAGAAGATTAATTTTTTTAAAAAAAAACAATTAAAATTAAAATTGTGTTTGGACATATTAAATCTGAAAAGAAGAGATGTAGGAAGACCGTAGAGGTTGTTTTCAATAGACCATCAGTTATCCTTAATTATACTCCATTTAATTATGCTTTCAATAAATTAATATATTCCTTTTTCTTAATTAAGGTTTACCTTGGTGTGATAGTATCTTTTTTATGTTGAAATATGCATTCCATTTATATCAAGATAATTCACAATTACTCACAACAAAACCTGCAACAAGCATCTATTGAGATGCGCAGGATAGATTATTGAAATAGAAAACAAAAATAGAAACTTCTTCTAGTAGTATTTTATTTTGATTTTACAACAACGATGATATAGTCAGTGTAATCTCACACCTAATATAATATCACAAGTGGGAGCCTCGGGAGGGTGATGTGTATGTAAACCTTTTCCCTACCTTGAGAGTTGATTTCATTTTATGTGAATCAAAAGGAATAGATCATTGAAAAGGAATAACAAACACTAATATATCTACTACAACCATCATATTTAGCTTCAGAACTGAAGATTGAATTATATTTCTGTGAATAAAGTACTTAGGTGTATATCAATGGTAAATGTGACACTCAATTAAGAGTTGGATTTGAAAAAATGAAATCATGAGCAAAAGAGAAAACGTTTCAATTCTATAGGATGCAACTAAATACAAAAGGAGAAAAAAACCAAAGCCAAAGAGAGAAGAGAGTACTGAATCTTTACCCCATGATGCACCATTCCTTGCAGCAGAAAGTGGATTAGCCGCGTTATAGGTAGAATGCGCCATGACATGACTTTCATTGTACTGAACAGCTGTTGCTCGCCCCTGGTTATATCGGTGAAGAGGTGGCTGTTGTCCAAAGTCATGTTATGCATATATCCACCATGCAGCTCATGACCTGAAGGAGGGCTTCCTACCTCTCCTGGTAAAAAGGCTTTAGTTTGCCCAGTAGATCTAAATCATGAAAGAAATACAAAAAGAATGAAAACAAGAGCTCAATTGCCCAAGCACAAGGGTGAAAGAAGATGAGGACAATTAAACAACTCAAGCAGTGGACATCCTAATAATCTCATTTTTCCTAATAAAGAAATTTCCAGACATTATATCCTACAAATGTTAAGTTGCACCCACTAATACTTTTCAGTACAACTTTCTCTATCTAAAGTAAAATAACTTAATACATGACCCTACATTTGAAAAAGAAGGAAACAAAACATAACAACTCTTTCAGCATTTCACTGGAAAACCATGCAGACGCAAACTAAGACATTTTAGGATGAGGAAGAAAGCAGAAAATCCATGACACTCCTAAGATTTGAAGCATGAAGTCGATCTTGAAGCATAAATTTCATCAATAAAATTATTTTAAGCTATAATAGATACTAGATGTGAGTGCCTAACAATCAGAGCCTCCACCGTCTTAGGGAAAACAAACAAAAGTTAAATTAAGGCATGATGAGATATAGACCAGATGTGTTTTGCCACATAAAATAAGACTCTTAAGGAAAAAATGTATACAAAAACATAAAAGGTGGTACAATAATTCTTACCAAAACGAAAAGAAAGATAAACTTAATTGTTTTAGAGAAACTAGAAATAAGGAAGCATGAGAAATAGTTTGTTGGTTGAGATATTTTGTCTCACTTTGTTGGTTGAGATTCTTGATAAACAACTGAACGTACCTGGCGAATCCACCAATAAACATAAGTTGGGATTTTGTATCCTTTAGAGGGATCGAATTTCTCTATCCCATGAAGTAGTCCAACAAGGCCTCCCTGTATGAAAATGAAAGAATTTTCCTTCAGAGGTGCAAATTTTTATTTTGAACTATATTCATCAATGTACAAGTGCAAGAAATTTGCATATCTAAAATTTTGAATGCACAACATTTGAGTCACCCGAACGAGATCAGTCATTTCAGGACCCATGTTATCATATCTTTGTGCGATTGACATGACAAGACGAATACTGCTCATTGAAAACCTTTCTCTTGCCAAGGAACACTCGATCAATGTAGATCGTAAATCAGTACGGGACAATTTCAAGGAAAGAGAAAGTTGATAATAAGAAGTTTCACATCCCAGTCTTTCCTTCAGCCTTAAGTTTTCCATGGTTTCATAGAAACAGAGTGAGACATCTTTAACAGCTTCAAGAAATAGCATCACAAGGAAACAAATTTTACAACAATAGCTCGGTATCCTTCCAACTCCCTATGTCTTACCTTCCTCCTCACATGCTTGGACAAAAAGCTATTTAGTAGATGGATGCAGACAGTTTTCTTTTAGTTCATTTATGTTCTTATGTGTTACTAAATTCTGTTAGTGTTGAAGTGGTGATATGATCAGCTACTAAATATCTGGTTTACACTTGAGAGAAGTGGAGAGGTGAAGGTGGATTAGGCTTGTGAAGTTAGTTACCTTGATTTTTGCTCTTCCACATGAAGACCAACTTGAATCCTTTTGACAGTTGAAGCACTTCAGTGTGTGTGAGCAGCTCTTCACTTACTACACCCTTAACTCCGATTTTGAAGTAGCTCTGGACCAAGTATTTATCTCAGCGGCTTGGTTGCACTGATAGGTGTAGCTGAACTTTTCCAACCAAGAACTCTTTGTCGAGAATGCATTCTTCTCCGCCTAGCAGATGTCCCTGAGCAATTAATATGCATCTTCTTACAGTTCTTTTCATGTTGTGGAGAAGCAGTCAATGTCTCTTCAGCAGAAAGATTCCACTGCTTTTCAAGCATGGACTTCTGCATCAAGAGGGGAACCTCCACCGAATCATCATCCTCATCATCGCTTTCATTTTGCAACTGTCGAATCTTTAAAACCAGGACTGCACATCAGAAGGGTCGGATGCAATGTCTATATGCTCTTTAAGAGCTTTGACAGATTGTAGTTTTCGACTGGATACATAACTGGGGCTATAATCAGATGACTTCTTCGCGGTGATCACATTTTTAACAGAAGGAACTTGATGGCAGGGCAAATTACTATCACTGCTACAAGATAGCTTTTCATTAAGATCAGAATAATAGAAGGAAGAACATAAAGAGTCCTTTTCCTGCACTCAGTCCAATAACTCCTGCTGTAGCCATCATGAGGGCTTTCTAACAATCCAAGACCATCACAAGTCGTCTAACAAGGAAGATTGAATTACAGCAATATTGCTAATGACCAAGTTGTTATGTCGATTTATCTACTTAAATCACTTTCTGCATGTAGTCGCACAAAGAAAACATCAGTATAAAATAACAGTAGGGAGAGTTAGCTCAACAAACAAGGAAAAAACAAGCAGAAATTTGGACAAACAACAAATCCACCTTCTCTGAACATTCAAAAAGTTATACAGTAGTAATCTTGGGTCTTGTTTTCTTTTGAAAGCAATGAATTTATGTTAGTTTCAGTGAGTTAGAAAAGGGAATTAGAAACCCCAGGAGAGTTGTACTAAATAAAATAACCCAAGTTTCTAAGTTGCAATCTCATCTATACAGATTTTTTACAAGCTTGGTGTTGGACAGCTTCATTTGCTTCGCTGCTATCTGTTGCTTCACTTGCTTTGTTTATCTTACTATTTTCCGTTATTTTCTTTTCAATCCTGCTTTGGATACATATTTTTCGAGCTGAGGGTCTATAAAAAATAACCTCTCTACCCCACTACCCTACTAAGGTACTAGTAAGATCTATGCCCATCCTACCCTCCCCATTCCCCAAGCCCCACTTGTGAAATTAAACTATATCAGAGCCAGCTTGCATATACCTCGACTAACTGAAATTTGAACCTAAGACCTCGTGATTCTTAACCCACTAGACCACACCTTGAGGGCTAGTATATACAATTTTAATTTCATATATTGTGATCGAGCTCTTAAAAATTCTAATGTGTATAGTTTAAAATTAGAAAACCAAATACTACAACTAATCAAAATCTTGTGCACGTAATAATAATTATGTTACAGCTTGCATCTGTACAGAAGGCAATAATTACGAGGGAATTAACAGATTTGTATACACAGCAAACATTACAAGGGGAACAGATTCTTCTACAGTTCGATTGAAAAAAACACTACTATGAAAATTAAATCTGAACAGAAAAAGAAAAAAAAAAGAGCATTAAGATGAAAGATGTTAAAGTGATGAGTGCAACTTACGTACCTGAATTTCAGCAAACTGACAATAATGGTGATACAGTGTTGTGTTGCAATGGCGGTGGAAGAACAAGTTAAAGAGTTTGTTGCAACAGAAATGATATTGTTCCAAGTTTTTTTTTTTTTTTATTGTTGATGATTAAATTGTTAGTCAGCACTTTACCTTTACTGCACGAATCCGAATTTAGTCGAAGTACAGCCTAAATTTGAATTTAATCAAACTTTAATATGAATATCGTACATTGTGCGGCTCCAATGTAGATACAGAACACTGCACGGGTCCACTTCTTGTGGCATACTTTTTCTCTTTCTTTTTCTATTTTGTTACTTTATAGACTTTGTCTTCTCTCCCAAATCTCATCTCACATACCATTATCTACCGGTCAATCCTGCCAACCGTTTACTTGGTCTTCTCTTCCAGCGAACAGCCGGTCAACGCTGTATTTTCCAATTCCAATTTTGTCACCAAACCCATAAAGCACAAACATACATAACTTCAACTTTACTTCAATTAATCTCTACTAAAAATGGAGAATTCAAGTCAAGAATCGCATCTCCGATCTGAAAATTCCGTTACATATGACTCCTCTTACCCGATCTACGCTATGGCTTTTTCATCCTTCAATTCTTCCCTCACAAACCGCTGCCGTCGACTTGCTGTCGGAAGCTTTATCGAAGAGTTCAACAATCGTGTTGATATTCTCTCTTTCGATGAAGATACCCTAACCCTTAAGCCTGTTCCAAATCTCTCTTTCGAACACCCTTATCCGCCTACAAAGCTCATGTTTCATCCTAATCCTTCTGCTTCTCTCAAGACTAATGATATTCTTGCCTCTTCCGGTGACTACCTCCGTCTCTGGGATGTTACTGATACTTCTATTGAACCACTTTTCACTCTCAGTAACAATAAAACTAGTGAATACTGTGCTCCTTTGACGTCTTTTGATTGGAATGAAGTGGAGCCGAGAAGAATTGGTACTTCTAGTATAGACACTACTTGTACCATCTGGGATGTTGAAAAAGGAGTTGTGGAAACCCAATTGATAGCCCATGACAAAGAGGTTTACGATATAGCTTGGGGTGAAGCTGGAGTTTTTGCGTCCGTTTCTGCTGATGGATCAGTTAGGATTTTTGATTTGAGAGATAAGGAACATTCAACGATTATTTATGAGAGTCCGAAACCGGATACTCCATTGTTGAGGTTGGCTTGGAACAAGCAAGATTTGAGATACATGGCTACCATATTGATGGATAGCAACAAGATTGTGATTTTAGATATTAGGTCTCCAGCAATGCCTGTGGCAGAACTGGACAGGCATCAGGCGAGTGTGAATGCCATTGCTTGGGCTCCGCAGAGCTGTAGACATATTTGTTCTGCTGGGGATGACGGGCAGGCACTCATTTGGGAGTTGCCAACTGTTGCAGGGCCTAATGGGATTGATCCTATGACAGTGTACTCTGCTGGAGCTGAGATTAATCAAATTCAGTGGTCTGCTGCACATCGTGATTGGATTGCCATTGCGTTTTCTAACAAGTTGCAGCTGCTTAAAGTATAAATTGTTTGAATAATTGAATTTTTACTTGTGGATTAATTGAGGAGTTCATTTCTGTTTTTCTTTGTAAGAGATGAAAAATATTTTGCCATTATCTCTATGGGTTATCACGAGAGGTTTGGCAAAATTTGAACAAATAGAAAAAATCATCTAATATTATTGCTAGAATTAAATTAGAGATCTCACGATTATTCACTTATTTCATTGATGACTAAATCCGCCCACACTTAAATTTTTATGATTTTCAACTCATTTTAGTGATCTTTAGGCGAATTGTATGACGCGATGATTTTCAATTCATTTCAGTGATCTTTAGGCCATATCCTTGAATTATATGACGCCATATAGGAAAGCTAATTTACTGGAAGAGACTTTTAGATATCAACAACAATTCTCTCATATTAATGTTATTTCTCTCACCTATTAATTATAATATATAATATAATTATAAAAAGAATAATTAGTTGGAAAAATGTAATTAATTAGTTAATAAAACAAAATTAATTAATTTATAAATTAAAAATAATTTATTAATACTTGTAATTAAAATGTTATGAGTAGTAATATTAAAAAAATAGATCTAAAAACTATAATATTAACTTTTAAATAGATGTGTGGAGTGATTTTTACTTTTAACCTATCGAGGTCCCATCACTCATCAGCCATGTTTTCTTTATTCTCATCGTCTTGATGGGAGCTTAATATTTATTCCAGTAAGTCGACGTATGGGTAAAAATGTAGAAATGTAGAAATGTAAAAATAAAATAAAAAAAATAGCGTATTTGAAGTTAAACTTTTTTAAAAATTAGTAATCAAAAACTAAAATTGTGTTTGGGGACATATATTAAATCTGAAAAAAGTTACTAATTTCGTGAGTGAGGTTTTCTAATGTTCAAATTTTTCACAAAAAAACAAACATTATGTTTTTTTTTTATAGAGGAAATTAGGGAAAATATATTTATAAATAAGTTTCCTTTTACAAAATTATCGCTGAAAATCCATCCACGTAAAAACCAAAAAACAACATACACATAAACCACGAGGGGAACATATACATAATCCACGAGGGGAGGGTGAGGGGAATATACACATAATCCACGAGGGGAGGGTGAGCGGAACATACACATAATCCACGAGGGAAGGGTGAGGGGAACATACACATAACCCACAAGGGGAAGGTGAGGGGAACATACACATAATCCACGAGGATAGGGTGAGGGGAACATACACATAATCCACGAGAAGAGGGTGAGATGTAGGGAAACTATAGAGGTTGTTTCCAATAGACCCTTAGCTATCCTTAATTATACACCAACAAATTACACTATTAATATATTTTCTTTTCTTAATTGAGATCTTAACATAGTTAGTTTACCTTGGTGTGATAATGTCTTCTTTTTTCTTTTTTTTATCTCTTGTTCATTTATCAAGATATGTCACAATTAATCACAATAAAACCTGCAACATCTTCTATTCATTGAAAAGGAAAATCATTCACCAGTGTTATCAAAAGCGAGAAAAAGCACGCTTTAAGCGCAAAGCGAGGCGAAGCGCACCCACTGCACTTTTCTTCTCTGAAGCGAAGCGACAATCAAAAAGTGATCGCTTCAATAGTTGAAGCGAGAAGTGCAAGTAAAGAAAAAGCGAGAAAAGGGTTTAACTTCAAAAGGCACTAATTAGGGTTTTTTTTAAAAAAAATTGTAAGGCTTTTTCTTTAAAATTTCTGAAATATACTTTTGGGACTTCAAACTATTTCCTTTTGCGACTTCAAAATATTTCCTTTGGAGTACTACAAGGCTGCGACTGCTACAAGGTAAGTTCTCTTCTTCTCTTTGATTGTTGTATCTACGATTGTTTTTTTTTTCTATTTCTAGTTGCTGCTGTATTTTTTTCTATATTTATATTGCTCCTATGTTTTTTTCCAATTTCTATTGCTACTCTGTTTTTTTTTCTATTTCTATACAGTGTAATGTGTATGGCTTAATATGGTTGCTCCTCTTAACAGTCTTTATTTTTTTTACTTAGTTTATTTGTTACTAAGTTACACTTCTTTTTTTGTTTGTGGTAACTAGTAAAGTTGTATTTTCTTATTCAAAATGTCACAAAAAAATTATTTGATATTTTTTATTTTTATACTAAATACCGCTTTATTTTTTAAAAAAAGCACGGGCTTCACTTCCCTTGTCACTTTTTTCCGGCTTCCCCAAACACTGCCATTCCCTAATGTCTACTACAACCGGTATATTTAGCTTCTAAAGTGAAGATTGAATTATATCTCTGTGAATAATACTTAGGTGTATATCAATGGTAAATGTGACACTCAATTAAGAACCACAAATCCCACGCTTCTTCACGTCATTCCATTTAATTCATGAGGAGTCACATTGATCTGTTAAGAGGATATTGAAATAAATATCCAACTTACAAGGAATCAAGATTCCTGTTTTAGTTTACAAGATTGCTAACAAATAAACCTTAAACTATGATTCACCACCCTACTCAACACAACCAAGCTTTGTTCAAACAAATAATTATAACCCCCTTGGAGAAACAATACTAACAGGCAACCTGGTTAGAGTTTTCTTGCAATAAATTAGATCCAGGGAGTTGACATTCATATATTTTGGTCCTTTGGAACCGGAGGAGAAAGCAGAATTCAAGATCCCAGAGATCGAGCATGGCGATGACAACAAGGTGTGACCAGATCATGGTGGTGTTATAACCATTAACATTTAAGCAAGCACTACAAAATGACATTGATGAGGATTTGTAACACAAGCTTTACCACTTTTTCAACTTGTTTGAACAGCTCTTTGCACTAATCCCCAATGAAGGCAACAAAAAGCTAAGCAATTCTTTTGTAATCTTTTCTTGTCCGGGAAGTTGGTGGAATGTTTGGAAGAGGATTGCTACCTCTACGCCCTACAACAGCACAAAGGTTGTGGTTGGAAACATGTCAAAACCTATCCAATCAACTCTTAAAGAATTGGATTTGAAATATGATATCATGAGCAAAAAAGAAAACGTTTCAACTCTATAGAATGCAACTAAATACAAAAGGAGAAAAGAACCAAAACCAGAGAGAGAAAAGACTACTCAATCCTTACCCCATGATGCACCATTCCTTGCAGCAGAAAGTGGATTATCCGCGTTATAGGTAGAATGAGATGACTGCGCCATGGCATGATTTTCATTGTAATGAACAGCTGTTGCTCTCCCCTGGTTAAATCGGTGAAGAGGGGGTTGTTGCCCCAAGCGGCTTGGAGAACTTTGTGCAAAATGAGGCATCAAATATGATGGATTAACCATATTATGCATATATCCACCATGCAGCTCATGACCTGAAGGAGGGCTTCCTACCTCTCCTGGTAAAAATGCTTGAGTTTGCCCAGTAGGTCTATATCATGCAAGAAATAGCGAAAAGAATGAAAACAAGAGCTCAATTGCCCAAGACGAGGGTGAAAGAAGATGAGCACAATTAAACAACTCAAGCAGTGGACACCTAATAATCTCAATTTTCCTAATAAAGAAATTTCCAGACATTATATCCTACAAATGTAAAGTTATACTTTTCAGTACAACCTTCTCTATCTAAAATAAAATAAAAACTTAATATATGACCCTAACATTTGAAAAAAGAAGGAAACAAAACTTAACAACTCTAGTTTTCAGCATTTCACTGGAAAACC